TGCCATGGTCGTTAAAGTGAATCACTGCAGTGGTTAAGTGAGGAACAAGGTTGTTAAGTGAATCCGGCTTTCCCATTGACTTTGCTTGTCAGAAAGTCATAAAAGGGGATCATGTGACCCTGGGACATTGCAACCGTCATAAATACGAGTCCGTTGCCCAGCGGCTAAATTTTGATCACGTGACCATGGGGATGCTGGTCACATGTGGTCGTAAGTGTGAAAAAATGGCCATAAGTCACTTTTTTCACTACCGTCTAACTTAGCAGTCGCTAATGAACTCTTGTAAGTCCAGGACTACCTGTATTTGAGGGGGGAGGGGATGGAGGAAGGACATTAAAGACAATGGGGAAATTTTACAGGTAGTCCTCAACTTACAGTGGTTCACAGTTGCGACCTTTGAAGCATCCCCGTGATCCTGTGATCAAAATTCAGAAGCTTGGCAAACAGTTCACACTTATGACTTTTGCTGTGTCCCAAGGTCACGTGATCCCCTTTTGCAATCTTCTGACAAGCAAAGTCAATGGGAAAGCCGGATTCACTTAACGACCGGGTTACTAACTTATCAACTGCAGTGATTCACTTAACAACTGTGTTAACAAGAAAGGTTGTAAGATCGGACATTAGAAAATGTCTCCTTTAACAACAGAAATGTTGGGCTCAGGTCAAGGACTACCTGTCTTTAGAGAAGATTCTCACTGGCCTGAAACGTGCATCCAATCAGTGGCACCAAAAAATGGTTCAGGCACGCAGAGCCATTTCTGAGGGCACACAAGGCATTGCCCTGTCAGCTCCAGTGCGCTGGACAGCTGCTATTTCGCTGTTTTTCGCCCTCTGGAACCTTCCCTGAAGCCTCCATAGGGCGAAAAACCACCCAACATGCAAACCGGAAGTTCAGGAACTGAAAAACAGGTCTTCTGGTCCAACCGGAAGTCGGCAAACGGGCCATTTTCGGCCTCCAGAAGGCCTCTGGGTGTGTGTATGGAAGGCCTTTTTCGCCCTCTCCAGGCTCCTAGAAAGAGTCTGGAGCCTGGGGAGGGCGAAAAACAGGTCCAGCGTGCCGTCACATGGCAAAAGTGGGGGAAGCACGGAGGGGGGTGTTGCACGCGCATGCGCGTGGGGAGAGAGGGCAGATAGAATTTTGGGTGTGGGCACACACGCGAGTCTCCTCTGCTCCCACTGCTTTTGGCACTCAATGGCAAAACTCTTAGCCATCACTGCTTTATGGGGTCATTAAAAGAGGATGGTGATTATGTCTTCCAATGAATACAGGTAGTCCTCCACTTACAACCATTCACTTAATGACAATTCAAAGTTTCGAGGGCACTGAAAAAAGTGACTTACGACCATTTTTCACACTAACAACCGTTGCAGCATCCCCCATGGTCACATGACCAAAATTCAACGGACCCGCATTTATGGCGGTTGCAATGTCCCAGAGTCATGGGATCCCCTTTTATGACCTGACAAGCCGAATCGATGGGGAAGCCAGATTCACTTAACAACCCTGCTACTAACTTAACAACTGCAGTGATTCACTGAACGACTGTGGCAAGAAAGGCCATAAAAATAGGACAAAGTTCGAAAAGGGTCTTAACCATGGACATTTTGGGTTCCATTGTGGTCGTTAAGCAGTTTAATTATTGTATGGAATCCAGACATTTCCTTCCTGTAACTTGAAAGTATGACTTTACGTCCTCTGTACTCTGCAGTTTTAAACAAGCCTGCATGACATTCTTTTCGGTATTTGGAGAGCTGTCATCTCAAAGGCTTGAAGATGTTATCCCACTGCCTGTGAGGGTTTTCTCAAGGCTAAACAAGGGCAATTCCTTTGTCACACTTAATTATCAGCTCAGATCACACCACTGCAAGATATTAAGCTTTCATTGAAAGTTATGAATTGCAACCTTCCATGCTGGTTCAATGAGCGTTAGTAGATGAATGTTTATTCTATCATCTATCTATCTATCTATCTATCTATCTATCTATCTATCTATCTATCTATCTATCTATC